CTCCTCCTCCTCCTCAGCGGCCTGATGGGGCTTGTAGTCACAGCCGGACCGCCCCCGTCCTGCAGACCCCGGTGCCTCCCGGCAGCGCCAAACCGGGCGTGTCCCCGGGGCTTTGCGGGCGGTGGTCGCCCCGAGGGCAGCGCAGCTGTGCTGGCCATGATGCTCCGGTCGCTGGCCATGATGCTCCGGTCGCTGGCCATGATGCTCCGGTCACTGGCCATGATGCTCCGGTCACTGGCCATGATGCTCCGGTCACTGGCCATGATGCTCCCGTCACTGGCCATGATGCTCCCGTCACTGGCCCTGATGCTCCCGTCGCTGGTCATGATGCTCCCGCCGCTGGCCATGATGCTCCCATCACTGGCCATGATGCTCCCGTCACTGGCCATGATTCTCCCGTCGCTGGCCGTGATGCTCCCGTCACTGGCCGTGATGCTCCCGTCGCCTCTGCACCGTGCCCTGTTGCTCTGGCCGGTACCGGGGCAGCCTCGGGCCCCGCGGGTACGGGCTGGGCTGAGGGGACTACCCGGCCCCGTTATCCCCGTGCAAAGCCGGTCTGGAGGCAGCGGGATGCACCCACCGGGCCGTGGGGAGCAGCAGCAGAGTGGGCAGAGCTCCGGGCAGCCTGGAGACCCCAGATGGCCCCTCTGCAGAGCGAGGCCCAGGGCAGATGTTTTAAGGGTCACCAGCCCCAAATCTTTCCCAGGAGCCACCACTGCTGCAGTCTCTGCCCTTCCCGACTGTTTTCACTGAGGTTTGGAGCAGGAACAYGGCAGCTCTAACACAGAGCTCCTCAAAACTCTCTACATACACTTTTGGCTCAGCCTCAGCTTGGACCACACTCAGCCCCCAAGCCAAAGAGCAGAGTGGGATATTGTCACACCAGTGAGCCCAGTCTGACTTCTGCAGTCCCCAGTATGGAAGCCCAGCTCACAGAGCCCAGKTTGGGATGARCTCCCTCAAAGCTGGACTGGCTCGGGGTGATGTGAATGGTGCAGGGCACTCAGCCCCTGGGCAGGAAGCGTTATGGGAGCAGTTGTGAGTCCAAATCAGAGCATCCCAGGATGAAGACATCTCCAGTCGGCAGTGGAAGACTGCTGAGGCAATGTGTAAGCAATTAAGTTATAAGTGGGAAGAGGACAGGCTGAATTAGCCCTGTCAGTCACCAGTGTTAGATTTGAACCAAATGCTGGGCATCCATCCCCAGGAGCAACTGTTCAGCTCCCCATGCCAACACCTATGGAATATTTCCTTTTCGGGATGAGTGATTTGTGGACAGGGTGAAGGGGGGAAGGTAACACACCTGCTGGGGTGGTGTTYTCCCAGCAAGCTGAGGATGGGGAGCATTTCAATGATGGCAGAGCCAGCCCCAGCCCTGCACAAGCACAACTCACCCAATGCATCTTTAGGGTGCAGTCACCACCCCCAGCCCTGCCTCCCTCCCTGCCCAGCAGCCAGGAGCTTYGGGCTGAAGGTGCCAAGGTGATGGGGAACCCACCCAGCCCTGCTGGACCCAGCTRTCCATGACTCCCACTGGGCTTTTGTTCAGACTTTTCCATGCTGGCCCTGAAACAGAGCTCGCAGGGCTGCACTGTAACCCCTCATGATGGACAGRCAGCACCTCCACAGCTATCAGTCCTTTGGCATCCTTGGTGTGGTTTCTTTGTATGATTGTGTCAACAGGCAAAGTTCTTGGGCCTTGRTCAATAAAGGTGCTTGGAAATGGCAGAAAATGGGGAAAGCCATCCCCTGCTCCTGGGAGGCTGAAGCATCTGCTGCATCCTTGGCTCAGCGTTGTGCCGGGGCTCAGGGCAGGAGTGACCATGGTGCACACTCAGCGCTGTCACACTGCTCCCCTCCGCTCGCAGCCCAAGGCCGTGGGGTGCCCTTCATCCCTCTCCTCCTCCTCCTCMTCTGCACACRCCGCTCCCATCTGCGGCGTCGGAAGCAGCAGAAGCACCGCAGGCAGAGCTGAGCCATCGCCGCTGCCGGGGCCGCCCCGTCCTCCCCCGGCTTTGCCCACGTTTKCTGAGAGGTTCCAGTGGGAACCGGAGTGTGAAGAGGGGGCACAGAAAGGGCTGAGCCGGCAGAGGAGAGGCCCCGCACAATAGAGCGGCTCCCCCCTGACCTTGCCTTCCCCGTGAAAGATCCGCAGCTCTCCCCTCCTCCCCACCACAAAGGGGCTCCTTTCAGCCCCTAATTCTGCATTTAGAAAACAAAAGCAGATGCATCTAGTTTAGGTTCGGAGAGGGGGAGGCAAGAGCAAATGCCGAAGAACAAAGAGCTCTCCCTGACAGATCTGACTGACAAAGACTTTGTCAGCTCCATCCCTCTGAAAAGGCTGCAGCCCATCAGGGTGCGGGGCTCCTGGCAAGCAGCTGCCGGGCCAGGCAGAGCACACGCGTGTGGGACGTGCCCCAGCCCCAGCAAAACCCAGGGATGCTCACAGGGATGCTGCTGGGGCTCGGGCAGGACACCCCTGTTTGTCCCAGACAGCATCATCCTGTGAGGTGAGGATCTGCCCTGGGATCGGCTGTGCTCAGGGCACCCACGGCTGCGGTTTTAGGGGAGCTGGCAGGAGCTGATGGAGCAGAGCACCAAAGCCACCCCGCCGTGCYTTCAGAGCACCCAGCCTGGCTGTTTGTGCCGCTTCCTTG